GGTGAGTAGTAGATCAACAGATATTTCAAGGAGAGTACTTAACTTGTGAGTTACTGAGATGTCTTTGCAGGACATCATCTGAAGGAGAGCCACACGAGGAAACACAAAGGGAGAACAAACAATGGAGGGCAAAAAGCGGATATCCAAGAAGAAGTCCACCTCCTGGTGTGACCAGGGTTGATGAGGAACGGCAGCGAAAGGTGTTTGCTTGGTGGAAGGTGGCGAGGAGACTTGGAGATGGCGCAGTCAGGACTAGGACAAACAGAAAGTGGAACCTTTAATCCAGTGATGCCACTCCACTAGCGCCAGCTTGATCACAATGAACTCCTGCTTCCTGATGTCATAGTTTTGCTCCACCATGGAGAATTTACCAGTGAAGAAGGCACATGGGTTTAACTTGGACGGGCTCCGATGCTGCTGAGTGAGGATGACTACAATGCCTGAGGCAGAGGCATCTAAACATTGCAGCTCTTTCATTTTCACCCCCTCAGGACTGATGTTATATGTAAAAAATTGATTACAGGTGGAACTCACAGTTCTCCAGTTTGAGGAACAGACAATGTTCCGGCTGCTAATGTTTGGTCTTGTTCTGGGAATAGATGAGAATGTTGTCAATGTAAATTATGACAAAATTACACTCACCTAAAGGATTATTAGGAACACCTGTTCAATTTCTCATTAATGCAATTATCGGTAACACTTTATAATAACTACACGCTAATAATCATTAGTTAAGCATGAGTAAACAGTTAATTCATCATTCATAAAGCATTAATAGACATTAATAAGCAGTTTATAAATACAGCTATAAATGCTTTCTTCCTGATTTACAAGCATATCTATAATTCATTTAATAATTGTATTTTCATCCTTTATTAATGATCAATTTATTATTTCTAAATGAATAATTGCATTTTTTATAAACCAGTTATTTAGGAGTTTTCAGTGGTTCATAAGATTACTTAGTAAATAAGATTACTTATTAGTAAGTAAATGATTAATAAACTATTTAAATGTACATTCATACATCTTATTATTCAGACATATAGTGATGGTTACTTAGTGTGTTAATAAATGCTTTATTAACATGTATTTATGCTGTAATTCAGGGTTAATTCGGGTAGTTATAAAGCATTTAGTAGTGGTCAGTTAACTATGTTTGTGAGCTCATCTAAAGTGAGGACTATTCATGCCTTGTAAAGCATTTATAAAGGAGATTTAAAGGCTGTTAAATATTTCTATGTTCTGTATCACTGTGTTGTGTTTGTTACATTTTACTGTTTAGAAGATTGATGCGCCTTCAAATCTCCTTTATAAATGCTTTACAAGGCATGAATAGTCCTCACTTTAGATTAGCTCACAAAATAGTTAACTGACCACTACTAAATGCTTTATAACTACCTGTATTTCCTACATTTACTTACACTTTCTAAGTGATCTTATGAATGACTGACAACTCTTGTTTGTAAATAATGCTATACTTCATTTAGAAATTATTAATTGATCATTAACAAAGTATGAAAATACAATTATTAAACGCATTATATGCTCATAAATCAAGAAAAAAAGCGTTTATAGCTGTATTTATAAACTGCTTATTAATGTCTATTAATGCTTTATAAATGATGAATTAACTGTTTACTCATGCTTAACAAATGATTAATAGCATGCAGTTATTATAAAGTGTTACCCAATTTCACATTCTGAGTATTTCACAATCTGCTCAGTTACTGGGATTTTGACGCACAACCATTTCTAGGGTTTACAAAGAATGGTGTGAAAAGGGAAAAACATCAAGTATGCGGCAGTCATGTGGGCGAAAATGCCTTGTTGATGCTAGAGGTCAGAGGAGAATGGACCGACTGATTCAAGCTGATAGAAGAGCAACTTTGACTGAAATAACCACTCGTTACAACCGAGGTATGCAGCAAAGAATTTGTGAAGCCACAACACGCACAACCTTGAGGCGGATGGGCTACAACAGCAGAAGACCCCACCGGGTACCACTCATCTCCACTACAAATAGGAAAAAGAGGCTACAATTTGCAAGAGCTCACCAAAATTGGACAGTTGAAGACTGGAAAAATGTTGCCTGGTCTGATGAGTCTCGATTTCTGTTGAAACATTCAGATGGTAGAGTCAGAATTTGGCGTAAACAGAATGAGAACATGGATTCATCATGCCTTGTTACCACTGTGCAGGCTGGTGGTGGTGGTGTAATGGTGTGGGGGATGTTTTCTTGGCACACTTTAGGCCCCTTAGTGCCAATTGGGCATCGTTTAAATGCCACGGCCTACCTGAGCATTGTTTCTGACCATGTCCATCCCTTTATGGCCACCATGTACCCATCCTCTGATGGCTACTTCCAGCAGGATAATGCACCATGTCACAAAGCTCGAATCATTTCAAATTGGTTTCTTGAACATGACAATGAGTTCACTGTACTAAAATGGCCCCCACAGTCACCAGATCTCAACCCAATAGAGCATCTTTGGGATGTGGTGGAACGGGAGCTTCGTGCCCTGGATGTGCATCCCACAAATCTCCATCAACTGCAAGATGCTATCCTATCAATATGGGCCAACATTTCTAAAGAATGCTTTCAGCACCTTGTTGAATCAATGCCACGTAGAATTAAGGTAGTTCTGAAGGCGAAAGGGGGTCAAACACAGTATTAGTATGGTGTTCCTAATAATCCTTTAGGTGAGTGTATATTCATAATGGCCAGTGAGGGTCACAAAAGCAGTCCGGACAAGGTTTTAGGCACTGCACAAGTCCAGCTTTATGAACACTGTCATTCCTCAATGTAGCTCCATAACTACGGTGACTAGAGGAAGATGATATTGGTACTTGATGGATACCTTGTTGGGTACCTTGTTAAAAGCTCTAAAGTCAATGCAGGGACTCAAATGTCCTTCTTTCTTGGCCACAAAGAAACTCGAAGCAGTAGGGGAAGTAGAAGGACGGATGCATCCCTGGTTCAATGCCTCCTCCACATATTCCTCCATGGTCTTCTGCTCCAGAAGTGACAGAGCATAGATCTGCCCACAGTCCACATGGTGTGGAAGAAGGTGAGATGCACATTTGGGGCTAAACACATCTTTGAATGCCTGATAGTCAGATGGTAAATCAACTTGGGAATTTGTGATGAGTGAATCCTATGCGAAGACTGACTTGATTGGTATGACCAGTGATGATACCCTTCCCAAGTGGCCTGCCCACTATAGACTGAATCAGGAGCGTGGCTTGAATAGGGGATTGAGGGAAGGTGGAGCTGGTACAGGGGGTTTTGGCTCGAACAGGGGATTGAGGGAAGGTGGAGCTGGTACAGGGGATTGTGGCTCGAACAACGGATTGAGGGAAGGTGGAGCTCGTGGTGGATCTTCCTGGAGACGCTGCTGGCGAAGCCAGAGTCATGGAGATTTGTAACTGTGAGAGATATGTTAACAGTGGTCACTCTGACTTTAGTACACAATGGTTAGTGAATTACAGGGAGGACGTATCTAAATGCAGAAGTGGAGTTAAATGAAAACAGATCAAAACCAAAACGCATCTTTTTCGGCAGCACTTGATCCAGTAATACTAACACTTTCTCTTCTATTCTATTTTTTTATTTAAAAAATATATATATTACATGTACTGCGTTAGATTAAACTGAGAGGGGTCATATTGCATATTGTTGTCCTACTGTTAGTTTAACTGCTTCTATTGTTCTCATTTGTAAGTCGCTTTGGATAAAACCGTCTGCTAAATGAATAAATGTAAATGTAGGGTATATGTAACGGAAAGACAGGGCCGTTTTAATACATTTTCACAAAACACATCATTGTAGCCCCTGCCTTTCTTGATAGAAGGTGTTAGAGTAGATCCTTTTCCTATTTAGCACCAAAACTTTTGAACAGTCTTCCTACCATTGTCCAGGAAGCAGACACACTCTGTCAGTTCAAAGCTAGACTAAAAACACATCTCTTTGACCTAGCATACACATAATACATTTTAGACTTCTATAAATTCAATGTTAGGCTGCATAGATTAGGTCAGCCGGAACTGGGAACACTTCCCTTAAATCTTGATGTACTCGCTACATCATAAGAAGAATGGCATCTACGCTAATATTAGTGTCTTTGTTTATCCCGAGGTTTTCCCGCAGCCTGCCGGATCCAGGCAGTGTCCAGATCTGACGAGGGAGCTTTGCCTGGACCCGATGACAATGCAGTGCTGAAGTATCCACTATCCTCTCCCTATGGAGGATCCCTTTCCCACTCTACAGATAAAGCGTTGTGATTTTCGGTTCGCGTACCCCGAAGTGATAAAATAAAACAAAATTTTGTATCAAAATTTATAGGCAAGAAAAGTAGTTTGTTTAGGCTGGGTTGTATGAATTACAAACCTGCGCACATATTTTAAAAAGCACATAACTATAGAATTCTGAATGAGCATGTGAACGCCGTCAGCGTTAATCACAGGTTCGCGTTTAAAGTCTGATCATTTCGACGGAGGTGAATCAATCAAAGTTAACTTTAGCTGGAAGTAACATTATTCAAGAACCGCTATAACGCCAAAACAATCTGTTACCTTAAATTATATGTTTATCTCTGCAAAGCTGCTTTGAAACAATCCATTGTTAAAAGCGCTATATAAATGAAGATGACTTGACTTGACTAGAGAAAAAAGTTTTTTTCCCCTCATGTTTGCTTCCATTTTTTTTTTTTTTTTTTAAGAATTAAAAATAATTTAAAATTGCCACATTCAGATCACCTGGATAAAATGAAATTCAGATCAAACACTAAGTAAGCTAATGTAAATTAGTGTTACAAATTCAAAAGGGTAAAACTGACCATGAGTCACAGAGGGCTTAAAGTCACAGCTGTTTCCTGAAAAGAAAATACTTAAGCCTAACCCTTTCAAGTGAATATTATCTCAACCAATGTCCAAGGTCCACTGTGATAAGAACACCTCCCTTGACGTAAAAACCATCTTATATTACCACCTAGAAGGCATCTGATTACTATTGATGACCACAGAGTATGCCAAGACAGTGACAGAGTGTTTACCTGAGGCAATGAAAGCGAGGCTTAGAGCAATGCATGGACATGGCCATTCATGGATCTGGTTGACAGTATTGGTTTTCCAGTACTGTTTCCAACAAAGTGCTTCCTTTATTTACTGGACTGCCAATGTGGAAGTTAGATACTTTGACAGAGGATCTAATGAAACTATAAGCAGTCTATGTGAGTGTGGTGTGTTCGGAGCGCACTCACCCTTGGAATCAGCTTCTGGACTAATAGTGCTTCCAAATGGGGATCCTCTGGCATGCTCAGGGAACACTACTTTCACCGCAAGTCACCAGCCATGGATTGCCCTGATAAAAAAAGGAAACTGTACCTATTCACAGAAGGTACAGGCTGCCAAGCAAGAAGGAGCCTCTGCTGTAGTTATTTACAATATAGATGGGACAGGAAATGCGACTAACCTTATGGCACATTCAGGTATGACAGTTTCTCTAATTGGCAAACCAAGACAATTCAATTTATTTCAAAGCAGCTTTATAGAAAATACACACTGAGCAAGGCAAATGTAATTGTGACAAGGAAACAACTTCATAAGAAGTTTAGGTATAGTGGAGGGTAAAATCTTAAAAAAGTGCTAAACTTACTGAATTGTTTTCTCCATGCCATTATAAAACTGACTTCATCCTAGAGTAAAATTGTATTGCCTAAAACAATCAACTTTGTAGAATCTCTTAGGAGATATAAAATAAAAATATTTAAAAAATGGCATTGCTTACATACAATAAGAAAATATTTGATACACGTTTGAGTTCATATTAAAATCTGTTTATGATAGTCAAGATGTTGACAAACAAAATACAAAATGACTAAGTTATAAACCTGCCATTATGCCAGTGATTAAGAAAAAGAAAGGTTTTTAATGTTAATGCTACTATTAGCCTATATTATTAATAGAAGTAAAAACAGTACAACAGTAAAAAATTATATATTTAATTATATAAAAGTTATATTCTAAATTATATATATATATATATGATAAAAAACAACCCGTTCCCACTCCCAAGGTGTCAAAACATTGCGTGTGACTATTAAGCCGCGAAAAGTACCTCTAGGTGTCTTTGCTTTTAATTGCTTGCCTTATCTTTATAAACAATAGTGTATCTTTATAATTTTATAGAATTTTTTTTTTTTGAGCACATAACCCCAACACTACCCTAAACCTAACCACTTTTCAACAATATGAAACACATAACAGGCAGATAAAATACAGTTATTGCAAAAAGGTGCTTAAAAATGTCTAAATATTGTAATGAAAATCAAATTATTTGGGCTGTTCAAATTGATAATCATACCCCAACCTAAAAGGTAAAATGGGGTAAGATGTTCTCTGGGGGAAAGGGTTAATTGATCTAATTTAGTCTAACTGTGACATTGTATTATTGTATTACACTGCCTTTGTGGACACATTAATGTTTTGTTGAGTTTGTATGTTCTCCCCATGAACATTAATACATGAAAATGGTGTTTCAAAATGCTCTCCATCCACACTAGCATTTTCTGTCCAAAGAAAGGTTCTTGTCCACGCTTAAATCATCTTACTGCACAAATGTAAAATGTAATAAAAAGTTCATTGATCATACCGAGAGACCAGAGATAGTATAGTTCTGGCATGATAATTTTATTAGCAAAATAAATCTCAACACTTACTGGTGCGTCCGGGTCACACTCAAATTCGCTATTCCATCTATGGAATACCTAAAGGCACGTTTACACGACAAAGATGTACTAAAAAATGGAAATGTTTTTCCTTTGTGTTTTGAATATAGACGACAACATTGTCAAAATGATCCCGTTCACACAAATCTGTGAAAATGGCTGAAAAAACTGTATTCTGCTACCAGGCCAGTAGTTTGTGGTCACTTTGTAAAAAAACCCGCCTATGTCATAATGACAAAATATACACCAATATACAGTTACATGACGATAAAATTCTGATATAGTCGATATAGCAATGTTTACGGATACCTTTATCGTCTTAAAAGTGCATTAAGCAGTTTGATGCTAATTTAAAACTTTTTATACTTTAAGAAACAAGTTGTGATTTTGTAAAGAGCCATCTACATCTAAAGAGATGTAACTAGCTGTCACCTGCGTTGGCGCTTGAAAAATGACTTTCTACTGTCTCTCTGAACTGCAGAGCGTCACATAAATGAACTGAAACTCAGTGTATAGGCTACTTATATCTAAGCTTGAAATGTCTACTTTAAAACGAACCAATTCGAGTAAAAAACAAATACTCTCTGATTATATAATCCATATGAAAGGTGCATTTCCCAAAATGTATCCTTGCTATTTTTTTAGTCACATTCATATTCATTGTCAGTGCTTTGCAGCAAGCTTTAGTGTGTGGCATATATTGCATGACTAAAACCTGTTAAGGTGATCATAACCTGACCATATACAGTCAAGTGAACCCTTTGGAAGCATGTCATTTAAATACAGTCAGTGTTTGTACCCAACTGTTTCTCAGGTCTTGCCATAAGTTATGAAAGGGTTTTAAATGGTCACTGACTTAACTTTTTATTTGTACAGTACATATATGGCACTGTAAAATTTTATGTTGAGTAGAGATCATAAGAATGTTTTTATGACTCACTCAGTTAAACAAAGTGGAAAAGGGTGGTTCTCGCGTATGATGGATGCTCGCGAATGATACGTGAATCTTGACCAATGACGTATCGGAGTCCATATAAGCTTCCGACTCTGCAGTCATTCTCGTCAGTCTGAGTGACCAGAGACTCTGGCGGTCTGCCACTATTCATAGAACCACGCAGGGGCGTAATTTGTGGGGGGGATATAACCCCCCCAATATTTAAATCTATGCATTACAACCCCCCCATTATTTATACCATGATCACAATATCAGGAGGCATACCCAAACTTCAACCCCCCCAATGTTCAAACCAAATCTACACCCTTGGAACCACGTTTACATTCAACGTTCTAATTTATAGTTCCAGACCTCCAGATGCGGTTTAACATAGTGGAAGATGTATACCACCAAGTTACAAGGACTGAGCTCTGATCACTGTCCGTAAACACAGCAGAGCCAACTAAAGAAGTCTTAAAGGGATAGTTCGGCCAAAAATGATATTTAAACCGGCAACGATCGACGCACGTTCACGGGTGATGTTTTGCTCTGCTCTCTGGCTGCGCGGGCACGTTCGTTCTACGTCACGACGCTACGTCCTACCTCGTACGCCGACTTCCATCACCCGTGGACGCGCGTCGATCGTTGCCGGAAGTCAGATATTTTCATTTATAAAGTTTTAAATATGTATATTTTTACGACAAAACTGCACGGATTACCCTCATAAGGCCTTCGTTTATCCCCCCGGAGCCGGATGGATTACTTCTGTGAAGGATATATGCACATTTTGGGACTTGAAGGAGGTGGACCCCATTGCTTCACATTATATCCACTGAAGGGTCTAAGACATTTTCTAAAATAACTGAAAATGTGTTCGTCTGAAACAAGATTGACATATGCATCTCGAACGGCTTGAGGGTGAGTAATGCATGGTTTAAATATCATTTTTGGCCGAACTATCCCTTTAATAGCTTATTTCATGGATATTGGAGCTGGACTACCTACCAAGCGATAAGCATTGGAAATGGTGTCTACCACTCAGTGAGATAGCCGCTGCTTATAGACACACCACAATGCCCTTGCTTATTGGTACACCACAATGCCCTTGTCGACAAATATTGCTGCACCACTCGTCCTGGACACAGTTCTGTAGGGGAGTTGTCCGAAACACTGAAATTCGAATAGGATGGTTATCAAACTGTGTTGTGTTGATAACACCTTAGGCTGAAAAGCTGGGTTTGGCCAAAGCGTAACGTCATAATCCTCAGGACCCCAGCTAAGGCATTGAGGATTCACTGAGATATGTATAAGAAGGACGTGGGGGTGGCCGGAAATGAGAACTAGCCCCTGCAGCTCTTGACAGGGGGGCTTTGGAATGCATCGGCTGACGTGGTGATCTATAAGATTGCCCTTGTACGTGCTGCAGCGAAGCTGTCTGATAGCAGCTGTTACTGCCCATAACCAAATCATATAGCTCATTTGATTTTATTGAAATTAGTAATGGATATGGGTCGAACATATAAATCTATCGCAGACACTTTAAACTTAAGACGTCAAACACTGCTTTTATCCAACAACAAAAATCAATACAAAATAATTCACAAAAGATGTTTACAAAATATATATATTAACAAATAAAGACAAAGAAAAAATAACAATAAAAAGGTAGGGTAGCTGTGGAAAGTGCCTGACTAAACCTGTTCTCATATACCTAACTCTCGATAAGAAAAAACAGGCGTTTCTTCCAGGCCTCTGCTTTCCTCTCTGTGCTTACTAAATAACAAAAAATGTGAACTGAAAATAAATCCACTACCCGTTACTGACAAAAATAACAATGAAGAGCATTAAATATAAATTACCAAAAATCCAAATAAAACTAGAATGAAAAACTGGATCACTCCAGAGAAATGGAGAGAGGTGACCAGCGATCCTGCCATGAGGAACAAAGAGAAGGAGAGCACGCCATTGATGCAGTCACTCCTCTCCCGTTGATTGGCAATTCCCTCTCTCAACACCACCTAAGGACTCAAAAATGTATTAAACACAGACACATGTAACAGCAGCCAGCCGGGCAATCAGAATAACCTCCCTTGTGCTCAAGATATAATTAATAATAATAATTTGTTACATTTATATAGCGGTTTTCTTGGCACTCTCTTTACGCTTTACATAGCGATTTACATAGCGGGGCGGGGGGGGGGGGGGGGGTCTCCTCAACCACCACCAGTGTGCAGCACTACCTGGATGATTCGACGGCAGCCATATTGCACCAGAACGCCCACCACACAGGGCCTTATTGGTGGAGAGGAGACAGAGTGATGAAGCCAATCAGTATATATGGGGATGATTAGAAGGCCACAATGATGTACAGAGGCAAATGGGCAAATTTGGCCAGGATGCCGGGGTTAAACCCCTACTCTTTATTCGAAGAACATCCTGGGATTTTTAATGACCACAGAGATTCAGATAAGGATTTAAAGTCTCATCTGAAGGATGGTGCTTTTTGACAGTATAGTGTCCCCATCACTATACTGGGGTGTTAGGACCCACACAGACCACAGGGGGAGCACCCCCTGCTGGCCGAGATGTTGGGAATGAGACTCTACTGCACACGCTCTTTATTTCATTTCTAGATTGCACCAGCCATACCTGACCTTTAGCCTGTGTCATTAGTCATAGATAAATTAAATGCAAGCATCAAGTGACTAAAGAGTTCCCCAGCTCAATCCTGAAACTGTATTATAAACCCTGACCAACATGTCAAGTCATCTTCATTTATATAGCGCTTTTAACAATGGATTGTTTCAAAGCAGCTTTACAGAGATAA